CAGGGGCAGATATGCCCTCTAGCAGATGAAGTAAGAGCATTAAGTTCATATGAGAAACCAAACACAAAGAAACAGACCCAAAAACTACTACCTCAAGTTCATCCCTCACTTCTCGGTGTTAGCGGCACCTCTCAGGGACTTAACCAAAGCCAGTCAGCCAAACAAAGTCCAATGGTTGCCCGCAGCACGAAGAGCCTTGGAACAAGTCAAGCAGGCTTTGTGCCTCAGCTCGGTATTGTATACACCTGATTTTAACAAACCTTTTATCTTACAGACAATCATGTTGGGAACAGCAATAGGGGCAGTACTAAACCAGGAAAAGGAGCACAAGGAACAGCCCATAGCCTACGGTAGTCTTAAGTTACTTGACCACAAACACAAGTATTCCACCACTGAGTGAAAGTTCTTAGCCATACAATAGGTGGTGGAGTTACTCCACTATTGCCTATTAGAGTACTCATTCACATTGGTGACTGACCACACCCTGCTGATGTGGCTGCAGTCAGCCAAGACTGACAGTGCACATATTATGCAGTGGGCTCTTGCATTACAGCAGCCATTCCATTTTACAGTGCACCACTGTCCTGGGAAGAATGTGGTGGCTGACTTCCTGTCACACCGGCATGAAGAAGAGGAGGTGCCAAGAGACTGTGTGTATCCGATACCCCAAAGTGATGGCATAGGGCGCAGGGCAAGTCTGCAAGACAAGGGCAACCCAAACAAGAGATGTAGAGATGTATGTGATAGGGTCCCATCTGAGCCACTGACTTACCAGATGGCTGATGGTCAGCCCAAGCCCAGGAAAGAGAAAAAGCATATAGCCCTACTTCAGGGGATGCATGCCCAGCTGTTTCAGGTCAGCCTGGGCTCAGGTGCCCGTGATGCATTCTGACCAGCTGGTGTCATGACAGTCAGAAAAAGCATGCTGATTGGCCCAAAGCCCAGAGAAGCAGGGCTCAAGGACAAGCTGAAGAAAAGAGAGGGAACACCGAAACTCAAGAGGAGAGCCCATGTGTTTCCCAGCCATTGGAGAGGACCTCGACATCACTGGACCACAGCCCACACCAGAACACGCATGCAAAGCAGCGCAGGGCAGGCAGGGAAGGGAGCAGGCAGTGTGGTGAAGCTGGGCAAGTGAACAGCCAGAAGAGCTGTACAAAGCCAGCTGGCCAACACTGAGTGACCAGCAGAGAAAACTGCGGGCCAGGAGCACTCCAGAGAGAGTGCAAGGAGCCGGAGGGTAGGGCCCACACCAGGTCACCTCAGGCCAATCCAAGCAGTGTAGCACCCTGCAAGGGATGCAGGCAAGGGGAACCTGCAAACAAGGAGCAGCCTGCCAGCAGGTGCAGAGCCTGCACAAGGGCAACTGGAAGATGGTGCCCTGAAGCACCCGGAACTAAGTCCCTTACCCCAATAGGGGGGCTCAACTAATGCCAAGGCATCAGTGTCCTGCCTAGCCAAGTAGCCCAAATAATTTAAGTTCAGTTACCTTTTCTGTTATAATCCTTTGAACCAAAGGCTCAGGCACTGTCCTGAGCACTCAAGCCTACAAAAAGAACCTAGCAGGAGACCAGACTTATCATCAAGGTCCAACAGCAACACCTGAGTGGGAAGAGGTTGGGTATAGGGAAGGAGGAGCCCCACAGAAGACCAGTGCAGAGCTGACCACAGTAAGACCACCAATGGCCACAGGTACCACCTCCATAACTAACCATCCATCTTACAAAAACAGGCATTCATAGCAGGTGAGAAGAGGGAGGTACATTGAAACCAGGTGAACAAGGCGCACACACCGCCCATCAGCAGCTTCTCTGGGCATGTATCCATCACACTTATGCATTCCACAAGGGATCTATCTACATTTTAGTCTTCCTCTTTGCACATGCCTGTGGAATCCCTTTTAATTGCCTTTTTCAAAATAATAATGTTTTCAAGGGGCCTTGCTAGTCACATTTTAAATTGTACCTTGACCTTTGTGCCTAAGGTGATGCTTTATTATTACGACGAATGTAAACTACCAGTCAAGTTCTTTTGTCAGCATCACCAGAAGGCCTTACAACATAGCTCAAGTGAACCCTCCACAGAGGAGTTGAAAGCCTTATTGTACATTTCAAATTGTTGCAAGGTAGGATAAGTTGGCACTTATGAATAGAGCTGGAATAGTTTCAGGGTAAAGGGAGTCATAGTAGCCTCAACAAAGAAGAGAGAGAATCTTTGTGACGCCAATAATAGGGCCAAAATCAATACAGATGTCACAAAGAAGAAATGGAACCTATGTTACAAGGTAATTATACTTTTTCCAAGTGGCACAGGCAGCTTGTGTGTATGGCACGCAGCAGATCAGAAAGTGGACAAGCAGCAGTGGCAGATAGAACAGGAAGCAGAGCAGCAGATGGGGCAGAGGAAGGGGATTCAAGAGGCCGTTGGGGAGGATGCAGGACTAAGTTGTGGCAGACCTGCCTACAGCTGGAGGCCCACTGGTATATAGCATGTTTATTGTGTTCGAGACCAAGTCTTAATTTCTAAAATGAACTAATTTGCCATTTATAATGCAAAGAAAATCCAGGTCTGCACATGTGTTCTCTACTTACAGTGGTAGTAGAAAAAGACTAAGGAAAGAGAATGTAGAATTATATTTCAATAATATGTAGGACTGCCCAGAGAGGAGTGCCACACACTTAATTTGGTATTCAATTTTTCTTCTTAAGGTCTTACACAGTTGTATGCAAGCAACCCCAAGAGCAGACAGAGTGCAACACAAAAACATCTGCAAACTGGACAGTGTGAGATGTTTCTCCCACTCTCTCTTCCCCATACCCACAAAAAAAAGAAAATCATACTGGATCATATATTCTTCTAAATAACATGACATAATCAGCAAGGCAGCGCTGTACCTGTGTAGCTACAACACAGTGGCACTTTGTGTCCTCTGAACATTCACACTTGAAGTAGCATAGGATGATGTTTAATAAAATAATAATATGCCCAACTAATATCTTATTTACTTGAATGTAAAATAATCCCGATTATAAAATGATTAGATTCTATATATGGAAAAAAAATATACGTTTGTTATAATTATTCAGGTATACAATCTAATTATTTGAGCTTTACCTTGATTTTGTCCCCCTCCTACATCCTACAGCAGGGAAAATAAATCTGGGGAAGTCAGGTGGTCCCCTTGTCCTCTGCCACCTCAACTTCTGTCCCACCACCTATTGTCGCATCCTGCTCTCCCTGAGCATGTGGTAGCGGGGTGCAAATTTGAAAACACTGATGGATGAATTGACAATTTTTTTTAAACGGATACAAATTTTGGCACAGGTACTCCACAAGCATACTTTTAAGAAGCACTTCTGTACCTATTTACGTACAGCAAAAATTATGCTTGTTACTAGTCCAGAGCCAAAAGGCTCATGATTTACCATATAACTCATTGGGCTTGGCTCCTGCAGAGTCAGCAGCATTTAAGCAATGGTGACCCCATAGTTCAGTATGCATATGTACTTCAGATGCCACCCACAAAGGATTAATGTGCTAATTAGCCCCCCTCCATTCGCATTTGGAAATGGGTGTTCTTGTCATGATCCTCCAAAAATTTATATGTGCAAGTAAGGTGCAGGACAACCCGGTCCTTTTCCATTTCATGGAGGGTAAAGCCACACTAATCATATGCAATAGGCTAAGGACAGGGGTGACAGAGGGATTTGGGGTGAACCATTTGGTGATGTTTGCCAGACATTTACAGCCGGTGAAGAAAGGAGAATCATTGGAAATGAGAAAGAAAGGCACAGGTCAGCTGTGGGAGTGAAGAGGAAGTTAGACACTAAGGGGGACTGAGCACAATGGACACTACCATATATCTTATTCAGATGATTTGTACTAACCTCTCCTTGCGGTAGGTTCCTATCAGCATGTTTCCCTGTGTATTTTATAGTCACGCTCAGTGTCAGCTACACTTTAATCAACTTTGTGGTTGGTTTCTATTAAAGAGCACATGCTGCTTTTGGCAGCAGTTTAACAAGAAATAATGTAGTTAATATAATTTCCTTGTATGTGACTGTAAGATGAGGAGCTTCCCCCCATGTTGATTGGGGGAAAAACCCTTGTCTTATGTTCAAGTAAATATGTTAGTTACACTGAAGCTGAGGCATGATAAATGCTGCATAAATCATAAGGTATTTCACCAACTGTGGCAAAAAAATAACAAAAGTACCAAATTACAACTCAGTCTTCATAGCAAAAATGTATTTCAGAAGAAGCAGGTTGGGATCTTTAGTCCTCATTGAGAAAACACTGAGGTTTCTTAGTACCTTACCCAATAATTTCATCTCTCTCTCTTTAGGGCTGTACAAATGGTGACCAATAGTGCCTGTAGATGTGTGGGAAGTCTGCTTCAATGTGCTGTAATTACCGCACATTGGAGCAGACTTGATTAATTGAGTCTGCTGCAGCATGCTAATTAGCAAGCTCCAGCAGCCTTGGTGCCTCACGTATTCAGAGTACCCATGCTGCAAAATGGTGGCACGGGTGCTTTAACTAAAGCTCATTCAATAAGCTGTAATTAAAGCACCCCTGCTGCTATTTTGAAGTGTGGGATGCAGAATATATGAGACGCTGTGAATATACACGCTCCCAGGAGCTGCTCTAATTAAAGTGCCCATCCCCCACCCCACTCCCTGAGCATGCCAAAGACTCGGAATAGGTCCAAAGACACCCCAAGACTCACAATAGGTTTACTGAACTATTGGTAAAAACCACTATAGTTTAATCATAGCAATATTGCTAAGAGAGGGTCCCTAATCTTTTTCTTTTGCAGAATTGGACAGAAACCAGTGGAATTAAATGAACTGCAGATGCCAGGATGAGAGTTGCTCCATGAACATTTAAACCAACAAAGCAGTAGAGTCTAACATAAAAACAGTCATGCTTAGTAATAATCCTATAGAGAACCAGCAATCAAACAAACCGTAAGCATGTGCTTTTTCTTTCACTACTAGGTAAAAATGAGAAAACTATTTCAAGACCTGAAGGAAGAGCTGAACAGCAGCACTAACCAACCGGACCCTTCCATCAGCTACAATGGAATAATCGCCCAATGATGCCAACACCTTTCCAGTATGCTTTTAAATTTACTGTTTTCAAGCACACTGCTGTTGCTCATTCAGAGGTGAAAGTTTAGAGAGCAAATTGGACCACATAAACCTGAACCATAAGATAAACATTGGGCAAAAAGGGAACTGAGAGTAAGGGCAGTTAATGCATTTTCTGTTACAGAATATGAAAGAGTTTAGTATTACCAAACTTACCTGAATCCAAGATGACCCTGAATTTCAGACAACCTCCCCCTTTCCCTCAACAATTAGATGCTACCATGTTTCTCTAAAAGACACACATCCATTCAGAGATCACCAGTCCGTTTTACAATGCTACCAAGTTGATACTTATGAAGATTTTAAGTTAGTTGTACGATTCTTTTAAAATACACAATTTAAGGGAACATCCAATGTGACCCTAAGAGCTCACAAAGCAGGCAGGATACACTGACCATGTAAATGTGATATACAGACAAGAAGTATAAATCAGAGAAACAAAGAGTGTACCAATTAATCTATCCCTTAATTTATAATTGACTTATTGCTTTGGAGTGCAACGTTAAGCTGGTCCTATGTAAGGAGAATAAAGACCCAGTCCTAATGTCATAAATTTAAAGGACTCTTTTTGTTCCTTAGTTTCCCTGAACATTCTACATCAGTTCACAAAATTAAAGCAGCATTTCCATAAGGTACATTTAAAGTACTAATGCTCAAGCCACCTTGAGGGCATGGAAGCTTTGAAAACATAAAACAGTGAAACTGGGGCAATCTAGCAATAAGAACGTAATATGTCCATTCTCCCTCATTCTACTCAGCTATTGCAGCCACTAGAATGATTGGAGTTGCATTTGATATTGCAACACCCCAGTTTAGAACTGTGTAAAGTTCTGACCTGACTCCATCAGAAGGTTATAAAATAACGCTTAAATAATAACTAATACTTTAATTACAGCATAATTTCATAAGGTACAACCTAGTCACAAAAAATTGATCTGTTACTGAAGCATTTGAAGAGTTTGCATCACTCTGCTCAGATCATTCGAGACAAAAAGGAATGATATACAGGTTTCCCTAGCTTTATGCTGTACATACATTCCTGGAAAATGGCGTATAACTCACATTTGCATAAAGGGAACCTTCTTTACAAGGTAACAAATAGGGATACGTTCCAAGACCTTGATTGTACTGACCCCCAGACTCATTTCTACCACTTTTACAAGACAATGTTGGTACTCGCCAACAGCAGACAGTGCATGCAAGCACAGGGCACTATCATAATGGGGATGGCAACTACAGAAACACGTGTCACAGACAGCAAGCGAGGAGCACAGATCCACACAGGAGACTGTATTTTGGTGTGCATCGCTCCCACAATGCACCACACAAAGCAGCTGACTGCGGGCTTCCACCACACCAATCACATAAGAATGAATTTACCTCACGTATAACAAATATTTGGTATAAAAAGGGTCATCACATAAGAGCGAATTCGCACACACAGAACCCGCATGAAATGAGGGAAACTTGTAGTTGCTATATTTCTTTTAAAAAAATCCACATTTGAATTACATGGGTTAATGTATTCCCCTGAAATTATCAGAAAAATTCTTCAAAAGGAAAATCCTGATATTTTAGATTAGAATAATGCTCCATTTTAAATATATAAACACAGAGACAAACCTTGTACATTCCACCAGGCCCCCACTCAATAATAAAACAAAGATGCAACAGATAACACAAGTTTGACTTGGAGTAAAAATGTATTGTTCACTTAGGTTAACACAATTACACAGAAATGCAGGGGGGGAGGGGGATTCATCCTCTTTCAACTTGCAGGTGGTTAACAAATAAAGACAAGTTATGGAAAAAACTAGAGAAAGTCTGATCCAATACGAGAACAGAAAAAAAAAAGTACCTTGTATCTATATTGTACAGTTTCTTGTGTTAGGGCTCCTACTGTTAGTGTTTTAGTAGGTTTGATTATTTTAATACTCGGCCTGGAAAGGTAAACATGAACAGCATTTTTCTGGGGTAAAAAACAGAAATCATTTCCACTCAGTTGAGCAATTAATCATTTAGATAATCAATCTGATGTAATACTTTTCTTTTGCCTAGCATTGTGTTCAGCTAGTAGGCTGGCCTCAATGAGATACTTTCAAGTGATAAATCTGTTTTTATTTTATCTTGGGCTTTTTTGTAATGATTTTTCACAAATTCAAATGCATTTTATCATGACCTAGATTAAATTTCCATTTTTACTAGAGGTGCAGTCTTGCCAAATGCAAACTGGTTTTTGCAGCCATTTCACTTAATTTTCCTTTGTTCACCCACGTTTCCATTATATCTAGAGAACCTTTTTGTTTAATAAATGCAAAAAATAACCTGTTTTGAAAACGTAATGCAGTATGTGTAAACAAAAGGAATAGTGGTTGGTTGTAATGTATTACACCACATATGTAATATGTGGTTTGCTATTTCTTACTATTAACATTTCTATTTCCAAAAAGTTTTAAAAAAATTATTTACATCAACCAAGAATAATATCAGCTGTATTACTAACACAATTATAAATAAAACTGGACATCTATTCTATCAGAGTATTTCTAGTGGCTTTAGCAAGTATAGCTATTAGTAAATGTTCAAGAACACGATCTACAAAACCAATACATTATGAAAAGAATAAACAGTCTTTTCGCAAAAGAAAATATAGACATATGTTTAGTCACAAAAAATATTTTCTGATCTTCTAAACAGGATTTTGCTCTGAAGTGATCTGAATGCAGCTTTACTGTACCCTACAGTTTTCTTCTTCATCTTTATCAGGCAAGGCTTGTTTCCTCAAAGAATATTTGTTTTGGGGCGTTTCAAGGCTCTGTCTCGAACTCTCAGCAACAGGTTTCATGGATTGCTTATTTACACACAGAGGAGATCTTGAAGTAGGTTCCATTGGTAAGACGGGTGTTCCTGCTTGGCATTGCAGAGCATCATTCACCTGCAACACAAACAAAAAGGATCTTAGTGCTGTACTAGTTGTTATCAGTCCTGTCAGTAAGTGGGATACCTATTCCAAGTGACAGAATATTAGTAGCAGATACTGTGCAGGAACATAATGCATCCATGCATGGTGAATTAGAGCAGTGGTTCCCAACCTTTTTAGACCACAGACTGGCAAACCACGGACCAGCATACCGCAGACTGGTTGACTGCTCGTCTCCAGTATGCCAATCACTTCTGGACTTCCAGTCTGGCAGTCAACCCTCCTGCAGCCAACCCTTTGCAGCCTAGTGGGTGAGAACCTCTGAAGCATTTTTCTTTTACCCTCTGATTTATTTTTTTTTTTTAAAACACTCTGACCAGAGGAAGAAGCAGCTCTGTCCTCATGAGGTGGCTACAAGCTCTACAGGGGAAGTCAGCAAGTAACATAAGGAGTGAAAAGCAGACAGCTTCCAGTGGGAGCAGATGGAATCACTGACCAGGAAAAACCAGCAGAGCAGACCAGATGCCTGAATTCTCCTGGTCAAGGACGGTACGTCAAGCAGGCAGAGGTCCTGGTATTCTGACAGACTGTTTGAGAAGACCAAAAGGATCCCTGGGGATTACTGGGAAAAGTCCTGTAGAAGCCCAGAGAAACCTTTGGGGAGGGCCCCACAAAGACTGTCAATCCAGTCCTGAGAAGGCCTCAGTTCACAGTGCTATGGGGCTTCCTCAAACTGCACTGCCCCTCAATGCCAACTAGAGACCCTAAAATGAGAATGAACTGTGCCAGGCAAAAGAGAGGATTTGGGGGGAACTTGCAGAAGGATAGAGTGTGGGTACTTCCAGTGGCCAGGCAGGGTCAGGGATCCCCTACAGTCTATTACAGTCAGCATCCCTACAAAAAAGTGAAAATAATCTATTTTATTTAGTTTTAAAAGTAACACACAAAGCTCTTAGGGCAACTAGCTAGTCCTCACTACATTCAGAGGTGTAGGACTGGCATCTCCTTCCTTGTTTTAAATATGGCAAATCATGCAATATGGCAAGGAACAGGCAAAGCCATCACAACACAGCAGGTCCTAGTCTACGCTCTTCTTCCGCCACTTGACGCTACAAAGCTTCATATATCTTTCAAGCTTATTACTAATATTTCATAATGCACTTCCCTACAGTATGCTCTGTAAATATAACAGTTTCATAACTAAGCGCTCATTGCAATGCTCTTTGCTAACACTGGGCTGAAACCACTACTTGCAGTGCGATTTGTGAGCACATATTAATCAAGTTCTGTTTTGTCATATTTAAAAGAGAATTTATTTACACATAAAAATGATAAAAAGCATGTTTGAAATCTCTTGGCAAATTTGCTAAGCTTGTTTGAAATGAACTATGTTCGACTTTCAGACTTAAATCCGTGAAAAAAAGTGGTGGAAGGAAGGCAAGAGAGG